TCTATCTATCTATCTATCTATCTATCTATCTATCTATCTATCTATCTATCTATCTATCATCTATCTATCTATCTATCATCTATCTATCTATCTATCTATCTATCTATCATCTATCTATCTATCTATCTATTTATCATCTATCTATCCATCCATCTATCATCTATCTATCCTCCACCAGTGGCCTGGAAGTTTGAGAATGCTACACAGTATTTCAGCAGTTCCTAGCACTGCACTCTTCTGGACAGAGAGCTCTGAAGAGCACTTGGGATCTGTTGGACTCCAACCTAGGGGATCATAGTCATAGGGGGTCAAGTACTCCTATCACCATTGGGACCATTTTGTCCTTTATTTTCCACAATCTCTCCTCCTTTGAGCTTCTGGTATTTCTCCAATTTCTCATAATCCTTCTCATGTTGATGTTGTCATTTGGCACCATTACATCTATTATCATTGCCCTCTGGCCCTCACTTACTACGATAGCTGGTTGGTTGGCCATTACTTGCCTGCCCATTTAGATCTAGAAATCCTACATGATCTTAGCTATTCTTCACCATCTTCTATGGAATTTCTCATCAGGATTTGGGAGAGTTTAGCCCATATATTGTGCAGATGTTTCTATACATGGTGCTAGCTACTTGGCTATGCTATTCTTGCCTGCATCTTATATCATGTATTGAACTGTCTCTGACATCTGTACCTTTGTACTGTCTAGTATGGTAGACCTCTGCTGTTGTGAATCTAGTGCTTGGTGCCTATTCTTGTGCTGCTATGATCAGTGCTTCAGTGTTGTTTTACTCCAGCCCTTTCTAGCCACAGGTAGAATTCCCCAATATCTGCCACTCAGCTATGTGTCACTAGTACATCCCATGCAGGGTCTTGTTTTGCCATGGCACTTTCTCTGCTTGGTCTTCCACCTTTGTTTGCTGCTGCTTCAGGTATTCTCTCAACAGCTCTTCGATTACCATTTTACTGATGTGCTCCTGGAGGTTCTGGGTTTCACCCATGATAGTAGCTTTGACCCTCACTGCACCCTACTTGCCCTCTTTCCAAATGTGCAATCTCTGGGTGTTGGGACTTGGAATACATTTTGAGGAGCTTCAAGTTTTCACATTGGCAGAGCATACATATTGATGGCATGGATCTTGTTCTTCCCATTGAGCTTGCTCTTCAGGGCCTATCTTAACTTTTGGTGATACTTGGATGTTTCCGTCTCCTGATTGTGGTTCCCACATGACTATGGAATACCTGGCTATTTGTAGTTGGTCTATAGGTCTGCTATGTGGCTTGCTGGTAATTCCACCCCACCAGTCTTCCCTCTTTTGACTACCATCGGTCACATTTCTCCAGTCTGAATGACATCTCAATGTCCTCATTGTAGATCTGTGAGGTGAATCAGCTAATGTCTCGAGCACTGTTCTGGAGGAATGCAGATTTCATGTTTTCAAGGCCTCCAAAGAGGATTTGGGATGTTTTTCCTCAAAGGCTAGGGTAATTTGCATTTTTTTTCCTGTTCTTAAAAATAAAAAAGGGGGAAACTTTGAAGACCCGAGTTTGTTAAGATTAACGTCATGAGTTGGTGAAGTATTTGGTGGTTATAGAAAGCCAGGGGCTGCTTTACTGGGAGGCAAAACTCACTTAACAAATTTCTCACTTAACAACAGAAATTTTGGGTTCAATTGTGGTCGTAAGTCGAGGACTGTCTGTAACAAGTCCTGGGTTACAAGCAATGTTTCTGAACTTCAAGATGGCTGGGGAATTCTGGGAGTTGAACTCCACATATCTTAAAAGTCGCTGAGAAACACTGCTGAAAGCCATTGGCTCCGCCCCCACTCCAATCTATGCAATCCCTAGTGGATTTCTCATTTTATCTCTTCATGTCTCCCTTTCTCCCGTAACTCTACCACTGTGATCACGGTGATTACATATACTACATATCCCTCGGTATTGCCAATCGCGGCCGCCTCCCATTGCGCAGGCGCAATCTTCTGTTCTCCCGTTCACGTAATACACCCTGCCAGCTTCGTGGGGCAAAACTGAGTGACGTAGCCAGCCCGGTCTAGGCCAGATGTGAGCCGGCTGCCAATAGCGCGGGGTAAACGTCTGCCAAGATGGCGTCGGCGCGCTATCGGCGCTTCTTGAAGCTCTGCGAGGAATGGCCCGTGGAGGAGACCAAGCGCGGGCGTGATTTGGGAGTCGTGGTGCGGCAGAAAGTGATGCAAGCTTTCCGTGAGGGAGAGAATACTCAGGTAGGACCCAGGTTGGGCCTCGGCATCAGGGGGCTTGCTCTGTATAGGGCTGAGCTAGGCGATTGGCGGCGCCAAGG